TGCCTTAGGGGGACCACAGAAATTCTGCTACTGTGAGCAACATTTTTAAACCAAGTACATATATGTTTATCATCACAAACCCAAGATTTCATCACATTTCCAAATGTCTCCCCAAAACGTAAAGAAGCCTGTTCTAAGGAAAGTTATTTGAAATAGTATTGGGATTGCTAATGGGTGAAGTCTGGGGTGTCCAGCAGCTCCATCTTCCAAAGAGAAACAGTGTCTCACTGCTCTGGGAAGGCAGGCTGCTGGGTTTCTCCGGGTCCCCGTCCCCTCATGTACGGCAGGAGGGTAGAATGAGATCTCGCATGGAGCAGGCTTAGCACGGTGAATGAGGCCATCAGATAAATATCATCATCATCCTCGTAGGTAGCTGCTTACAGGGGAGCTGAGCATCCCTCCAGCACCTCCTTCTCTAGGAGCACCAGCAGGGCCAGAGGTGGGACAGCACTCAGCTAGCTGTAGTCTTTCCCTTAAATGTCAACTCTACCTTCTTGGGCAGGTCTTTTCTCTGATTACCCCCTCCCCACCAGCCAGGTCTCCCCTCACTGTGCCCTGGCTTAGCTCCTCCCACCGCCACTCCACAGCAGAGCCAAGCTTCATAAGCACGTGCTCACTGAAGACTGTCTGTCTCCCCGTGGGTATGTGAGCACCATGAGGATGAGGAACCTGCCTGGATGCTCAGAGCCATGGTGCCTGACACATAGCATTCAACACTTCAGTGCTTTGCTTGTTGAATGAATGAGCACGAAGCCCACCATCTGATTGGACATCTGCAAACTCCCTCCAGGCACCGGAGGCACACAGCCCTGCCTTGTAATTCCTGGTAGAATTGCCCAAACAGCCATGTGCTCATTTGCAGATGCACCCAGGAGAGATGGCTCCCTAACATGCTGTGCATTTTCAGTGTCCTGGGCACCATCTCCAGGCTAATCGTACGTGGTGTCATTCACTCCACCAGCTTCTCCAGTTTACAGGTGAGGAAACTGAGACTCAGAGAGGCGAGGGTGAGAGTAACCGCAATCATAGCTACAAGGATTTTGAGCATCGCCCTGAGCATGATTCCCCTTAATCCTCACTATAGCCCTGAACGATGCTCCTCCTCCTTTTACAGATCTGGAAACCACGTCTGCCAGGAGGGAAAGCCACGATTTGCATCCTGGTCCGTGTGACTGAGAAGCCCATGCTCTTAACCACGTGTGATTATGCATTAAGCTGACTCCAAATCCAGGGCTCACCCCTGAGCAGTGCTTCCTGTTCCCAAATCACGCCCCAGACCTGGAAAGTCTACACCTTCCATGTCATCATTTATTTACACTCAGTGGCCCTGAGAACCACAGCCCGTGATGAGGTGGGACTGACAGCCCCTACCCTCACCCCCGGTTCACACCTCCAAAGAGCCAAGGACAACAGTGCCTTCTCTTCTCCAATTTTCTTAACAAAATAATAACAAAATCCCAGCTGGTTACACAAGACCAGGAAGACTAGAAAAGTACATTTAAAAGTAATTGATATTCCACAAACATCCTCAAGGGGATCATGAACCCTGAGAGAGAACCTCAAATCAGGAAAGCTATCACCCTGAACTGATGCTTTTGATTTACGAAACCAGAAATGAAGTGTCCAAGAATGGCCCAGGGATTCAGAGAAATTCACATAGGACCTGCATTTCCGCATTGTTGGGGGAGCATGGGAAGGGGAAAGTGCCTTTGTCTCAGGGCTCATGGCAGCTGACTTGTGGGGCCCAGACCCCCAAGGTCTTTGCAGCTGCAGGGGAGTAGAGGAGAGGCAGAGTGGTAGGGGTTGCAATCAGAGAGGCCACAGGGACCCTGCAGGCTCTGGGAGGCTTTGCATAGAGTTTGGCTTTTTCTTTGGGAAACTTTGGAGGGTTTTAAAGCAGAGGAGTGCATGGTCTAATTTAGGTCTCAAAACGATTGCAGCTGTATGCAAAAGAGATTGTAAATGGGCCATGAAGGAAGCTGAGACACCAGGTAGGACACACCTGCAATAACTCAGGCCAAGATGATGGTGACTGAGGAAGAGCTGTTAAATGCAGTCAGATTTCGGGAGTGTTGACAGGACTTCTGGACAGATGGGTTGTGAGAGATGAGGAAAGAGAACTCAGGGGGGACTCCAAGGGCTGCAGCTGGAGCCACTGGATGGATTGGGATACCATTTCTTAAGAAGGGGAGGACAGGGGGTTTGAGCTGAATTCTCTACGACCCTCAAACCCAGAGCAACAAGGTAAACTTACACTTTGCAGTGCTTTGATTTCAAGGCTCTCTCTCCCCTCCCTGTAAATCTTAACCACAATCTGCCCTTCCAATGATTCAGTCATTCATTTGTGTCAATTAACAAACATTGCTAGTAACTGCCACATGGTAAACACGGGAAGCACTAGACACATGAGGATGGATTAAACTCACACCCTGTCCTCAGAAACATTTACTTTAGTGCGGGATTTAGAGACCAACCAAAAATGCAGCCAAAGATGGAGAAGCTCTATACAGTCAGGGAAAACAAGACTGGGAGCTGACTGTGGCTCAGATCATAAACTCCTTATTGCCAGAAGAAAGTAGGGAAAACCGCTAGACCATTCAGATATGATCTAAATCAAATCCCGTATGATTATACAACGGAAGTGACAAATAGATTCACAGGATTAGATGTGATAGACAGAGTGCCTGAAGAACTATGGATGGAGGTTCCTGACTTTGTACAGGAGGCAGTGATAAAGACCATCCCCAAGAAAAAGAAATGCAAAAAGGCAAAATGGTTGTCTTACAAATAACTGAGAAAAGAAGAGAAGCTAAAGGTAAAGGAGAAAAGGAAAGATACACCCATTTGAAAGCAGAGTTCCAAACACTAGCAAAGAGAGATAAGAAAGCCTTTCTCAGTGATCAATGCAAAGAAATAGAGGAAAACAACAGAATGGGAAAGACTAATAGAGATCTCTTCAAGAAAGTTAGAGATACCAAGGGAAAATTTCATGCAAAGATGGACTCAATAAAGGACAGAAATGGTATGGGCCATACAGAAGCAGAAGATATTAAGAAGTGGTGGCAAGAATACACAGAAAAACTGTACAAAAAAGATCATTATGACCCAGATAATCACGATGGTGTGATCACTCACATAGAGCCAGACATCCTGGAGTGTGAAGTCAAGTGGGACTTAGGAAGCATCACTATGAACAAAGCTAGTGGAGGTGATGGAATTCCAGTTGAGCTATTTCAAATCCTGAAAGATGATGCTGTGAAAGTGCTGCACTCAATATGCCAGCAAATTTGGAAAACTCGGCAGTGGCCACAGGACTGGAAAAAGTCAGTTTTCATTCCAATCCCAAAGAAAGACAATGCCAAAGAATGTTCAAACTACCACAAAATTGCATTTATCTCACATGCTAGCAAAGTAATGCTCAAAATTCTCCAAGCCAGGCTTTAACAGTACATGAACTGTGAACTTCCAGATGTTCAAGCTGGATTTAGAAAAGGCAAAAGGACCAGAGATCAAATTGACATCTGTTGGATCATTGAAAAAGCAAGAGAGTTCCAGAAAAACATCTACTTCTTTATTGATTATGTCAAAGCCTTTGGCTGCATGGATCACAACAAACTCTGGAAAATTCTTCAAGAAATGGGAATACCAGACCATCTCACCTGCCTCCTGAGAAATCTGTATGCAGGTCAAGAAGCAACAGTTAGAACCAGACATGGAACAACAGACTGGTTCTAAACTGGGAAAGGAGTACATCAAGGCTACATATTGTCACCCTTCTTATTTAACTTATATGCAGAGTACATTATGCAAAATGCTGGACTGGATGAAGCACAAGCTGGAATCAAGATTGCTGGGAGAATTATCAATAACCTGAGATATGCAGATGACACCAACCTTATGGCAGAAAGCGAAGAAGAACTAAAGAGCCTCTTGATGAAAGTGAAAGAGGAGAGTGAAAAAGTTGGCTTAAAACTCAACATTCAGAAAACTAAGATCATGGCATCTGGTCCCATCACTTCATTGCAAATAAATGGGGAAACAATGGAAACAGTGAGAGACTTTATTTTGGGGGGCTCCAAAATCACTGCAGATGATGACTGCAGCCATGAAATTAAAAGACACTTACTCCTTGGAAGAAAAGCTATGACCAACCTAGACAGCATATTAAAAAGCAGAGACATTACTTTACCAACAAAGGTCCATCTAGTCAAAGCTGTGGTCTTTAGTCATGTATGGATGTGAGAGTTGGACTATAAAGAAAGCTGAGCACTGAAGAATTGATGCTTTTGAACTGTGGTGTTGGAAAAGACTTTTGAGAGTCCCTTGGACTGCAAGGAGATCCAACCAGTCCACCCTAAAGGAAACCAGTCCTGAATACTCTTTGGGAGGATTGATGCTGAAGCTGAAATTCCAATACTTTGGCCACCTGATGCGAAGAACTGACTCATTGAAAAAGGCCCTGATGCTGGAAAAGATTGAAGGCAGAAGGAGAAGGGGACAACAGAGGATGAGATGGTTGGATGGCATCACCCTCTCAATGGACATGAGTTTGAGTAAGCTCCGGGAGTTGGTGATGAACAGGGAAGCTTGGGGTGCTGCAGTCCCTGGAGTCGCAAAGAGTTGTACACGACCGAGTGACTGGACTGAATTGAACTGAACAGAGACCACCATTCTCACTATTTCATGTATTCAGTCATTCAGTCATCAATAAACAATCACCAGCACTTAATTTCTAGCAAGCAAGCATGGTGGTAGACATTATAGAAGATCCTTCCCTTAGGAAAAATCCTAGTCCAATTGGGAAGCCTGAGATTAGCCATCCTCACCCATTCATTTATTCACTGAAGAGTCACCAACACCCAGCCCGTGCAGAGTCTGGGAGAGGACTCCTGCTGGATGACCCAACAGTGGGCTCTACTGGGTGTCTCCAAGCAACCAAGCTTCCCTCTGGATCCCTGGCCTCACCCCAGTGTTCCACCTGCTGCCCTCACCATGTGAGCAAGCCCCAGTGGCAGCTGCCAGAGCCCATCACAACACCTCCCCACAGCATGCCGGAGGCTAACTCTGGTGTCATCTTCCTACCAAAAACCATGAGTCCATTCATCCTGGTGGCCACCCTTGCAGCCACCCACCTGTGTATCAACTGATCTTTCTTGATACCCACAGGTCCCAGAACCCAGGATGCATTCTGTCTGGAGGCTCCTGGTCCTCCTCGGCTTGCTGGCCTTGCCCTCAGCCCTACACAAGCCACAGCAGCCTGGCCTGGCCAAGACCTACACAGACAGCAAGTCGGCTCTGGCAAGAAGTAAGCTAACCTCGTGCTCTGCCTGCTATCACAGGGAGGGTGGGAAAGCATTACCCAGCTAGATGAGCTGGGATCAGTCACTTACCCGCTTTTCTTCCTCTTTTTCATAGACCCGAAGTACAAAAAAATTGAGGTTGAGTTGATCATATGCCTATTCATAACACATCGTCATTATCAGGCACCATGGCAAGGCCCCTCTTGTGTTTTATTTTGTTATTTTCCCCTCAACCTCTTCTTATTCCCCTCTTCCTTGGCAGGCAATGTAGCATGTTTAATATATGTGTTTTTAAATGCCCATATCCTTGTAAAACATAGGTTAGCCATAATGGTTTTTCTGGTTCTTCCATGACATCTTAATGATGTCAATAAATAAGTTGGTGCCAACCCAATAAATAAGATTTCATATACAAGACTTAATTTTTTTTTTACTGTTTTTTCTGGACATTGTGCTGTTGACATCTGTTGCTTCATATTAGTGCAGAAAAGTCCATGAAATTCATCCACTTCACCACCACTTGTCCATTTCCCTAGGGATGATCACTTGAGTTGTCTCTAACTCCCCACTATTATAAACTGCACAGTAATGAACATTCTCACATGTGCTCCTTTTAGAAGCTGTGGGAGAATTTCTCTGGGATATATTCCTAAAGGGAGATGTCTGGGCTCTAAGGAAGATGCAAACTGAATTTAACTAAAGACTGCTAGGTTGCTCTCTAGAATGATTACACCCATTCCAGTAACAAACAAGCATACCTCTGTCCCCATGTTTCCCAACACTGGAGAGAACCCACCTGTATCAGTCTCCTTGGGCTGCCATAGCAAGATACTACAGACCGGGGTGCTTGAACAACAGACATTTATTGTCTCACATCTCTGGAGGCTGGAAGTTCAAGTTGCCAGGGTTGGTTTCTGGTGAAACCTCTCTTCCTGGCTTGCAGAGAGCCGCCTTCTCATTGTGTTCTCACCAAGCCTTTCCTCTGAGTGCACACAGAGACTGAGTGAGTGAGTGAGTGTACTTTGGTGTCTCTTCTTCTTAAAAGGACACCAATCCCAGTGGATTAAGGCCCCACCCTTATGACCTGATTTAAGCTTAACTCCTCCCTCAAGGCTTAATCTCCAAATACAGTCAAATTGGAGTCTGAGGCTTCAATATGTTCATTCAGGGAGGGGTAGCGCAATTCAGCACATAATGTCATCTTTCTAAATGTCTGCTAGTCTGTTTTGTTGTGTTGTGTTGTGAGCAATATCTAATTTGTTTTAGCTTGACTATTTTATTAGTAGGAACTTTGAGCACCATATCTTTTCTTTTTTAATTTAATTTATTTATTTATGACTGCACTGGGTCTTCATTGCTGTGTGTGGGCTTTCTCTAGTTTCCACAAGTAGGGGCTACTCTTCACTGCAGTGCATGGGCTTCTCATTGCCTTGGCTTCTCTTGTTGCAGAGCACAGGCTCTAGGCATGCAGGCTTCAGTAGTTGCAGCATGTCAGCTCAATAGTTTCAGCTCATGGGCTCTAGAGCATGGACTTGGTAGTCGTGGTGCATGGGCTTAGTTGCCCTGCAGTATATGGGTCCTTAGCCAGTGAATTCTTTTTTTGTTTGTTTGTTTTGTTTTGTTTGTTTGTTTTTCTTAACCACTGGACCACCAGGGAGGTCCGGAGCATCACATCTTAATTTTTCTAGCCATTTTGACTTCTTTGAATTCTTACCTTTTGCCCATTTTTCTATTTGCTTTCCATTCTTTAAATTCTCTTTGATTTGAGGAGACATTAATTTATTTGACGTTAGTCCCTTGTCAGTCTAAGCACTGTTAACATTTCTCCAAACTGTCATCTGTTAACGTTGTTGGTAGATGCTTCATTGAACAGGAATATTTTCAAACTTACATGTAAGATTTTAATCCATTTGGAGGCCATCTTTATGTATATTTATATACATAAGTTAGAGATTCATCTTCACTTCTCTCCATATGAGTCCATTTTCTCAACTCATCTACTAAATGATTAAGTTTCCAAACACGTGGATTCCCTTTTAAGTTCTGTGTTCTGTTTCTCTGTAACTGTTTCTGTACGAAGAATATAGTATTTTAAATACTATGCCATTTCATCTGATAGAACTTTCTTCTTCCAAATGAATTTTAGACTGGGGTTAGTTCATTGAAAAATAAAAAGTAATCTTCTGGAAATTTGATTAGGATTTCATTGAATTTGTTAATGAATTTAATGATATTTTTGCAATATTACATTATCCAATTACAAACTTAGTATACCTTTTCATTTATTCAGATTTTATTTTATAACCCTTAATAGAATTTTCAAGTTCAGTAAATGTCTTGAGCATGCTTTGTAAAATTGATTCCTAGAGATTTTGTGAGTTTTGTTGCCTCAGTAAACATTGCCTGATTTTCTTTTATATTTTCTAGTTGGTATTGCTGGTACAGATGAGAGGAAAGTTGTTGATTTTTGAAAATTAGTCTGCTACCCCAAAGTCTTATGGTTTATTAGTTCTAGTAATTTTTCTTATTTATTTTGTTCAATTTTCTGCCTAGAGTATGACATCATCTGCAAATAGTGGCAGTCTTTTCTATTTTCTTCCAAACCTTATAGTTCTTGTGCCTTTTTCTTATTTTGCAGTATAGTCAAGGTCTCCTATAGGGATGGGAATATATCTAGAATTCTTCACTAAGTATATTTTCTGTAGGTTTTTGGAATATAGTTTTTATTTGTTAAAGAATTCCCCTTATACTCCTAGTTTCCTAAATTTTTCTTAATCATAAATCCATATTAGCCTTTAACAAGTGCTTTTCTGCATCTAAAAATTACCATTTTTACATCTATTATGTTAATATGATAAATTATATTAACAGATTTTCTTATGTTAAACCCATCTTAGCATTTCTGAAATAAATATTATATTTTATAATGTATGATAGTTATATCTTTACAAGCTACTATTTTATAATGTATTTTTGTAGTATACTATAATGTATCTATAATGTATCAAACTAAAATTTGTATTTTGTAATGTCATGTGATATTTTTATAATGTACTATTAGATTTGTTAGCTAGTCATTTATTTAGGATCTTAGCAAATTTTTTATATATAAAATTGATATATAACTTCCCTTGTACTTTTTTTCTAATTTTTTATTTTTAATTGGAGGATAATTGCTTTGCAGTGTTGTGTTGGTTTCTTCTGTACGACAACGTGAATCAGCTATGAGTATACGTGTGTTCCTTCCCTATCGAGCCCCCCTCACACCACTCCATCCCACCCCTCTAGGTCATCAGTCTTGTACTGTTCTTGAAGCAAGTTGTACTAGCCTCATAAAATGAATTTTGCATCTTCTTTTTCCATTTACTTTCATAATTACCTTTTTATAAAGTTGGGTAAGAGTCTTCCATGAAACCAGGGACTCTCTGCAACCCATGGACAGTAGCCCCCCAGACTCCTCTGTCCATGGAATTCTCCGGGCACGAGTACTGGATACTGGAATGGGTTGCATTTCCTACTCCAGAGGATCTTCCTCCAGGGATCAAACCTGGGTCTCCTGCATTGCAGGCAGATTTCTTTACCATCTGAGCCACCAGGGAAGCCCCCCAGTAGATCACTCGGCAAGAAGTGGGTGCTGCAGCCTGCAACCTGGGCCTCCTGGCTCCAACATCTGCCCCTCCACCTTTGCCAGGACATCATGCAATGTCACTGGTGCCATGTCCATTTCCAGTTATTGCCCAGGGCCTCATGAAGCACGATACAGAGGGCCGAATCCAGAACATTCACCTCTTGGACAGTCTGAATGCCTCTGGGCAGATGGCCCCGGGGATGGTGGGCTGGCTAATCGGCAGCACGAGCCTTCATCACCATCAAGAAGGCAGGTGAGATCCTGAACACCATCCCTGGCCTTGGGATTCCTTAAAAGGCTCTGGGTCAGAGGGCAGTGTTGAGGGCATGGAGGTACAAGCCCTGTGAAGAAGGAAAGAGGGAAGATGAGTTGGGGGGTCACTGGGGAAGGCAGCACAGCATAGTCATTAAAGGCAGAGGTTACGGGAGCAAAAGTGTCCTCATTTACATCCTGGCACTCCCACCAACTTTGGGGAAATTGCTGGACCACTCTGACCTCATCTATGACATAAGTACCCAGAGCATAGTCCAGATAACATCTGGGGTGCCATAGGAACCCAGGGCTAGAGTCAGACATTTGAACCCCACTTTATTGCTTAAAAGCCGTGTGACCCTGGGCAAGGCATTTGAGCTCCCCGAGCTTCAGTCTTGAGTCCCATCAGTGAAATGGGTATAATGACCCCTGCCTCCTGGGGTTGTTAGGGGCTTTCCCCACAGCACTCATAGCCACCACATAGCCACTAATTAAACAACTGCATAGCCTTTGGTATAATTAGTCTCACAGAACTGGGCCTGTCCTTCACTTCCACTTGCCCTCCTTCCTCTCAATGGATGCAGGTCTCAATGCTACTCAACTGTAACAGCTGCTGTGCCCTTGACCTGCCTTGTCTGTGATCTGAATCCCTCATTCTCTCCATTTTAATGAACGCCAGTGCTCATCACCTTGATGTATGAGGCCACAATCACTTCCCCTCATTCAGTCCTGTAAGAGTCATCCTCTGAGAGTATTAGGCTGGCTCTGAGAACAAGCCCAGTGGCTGGGTCTGTGGTTGGCTGTGGATTTCACGAGACAACTGTATGGAGCTATTAGGGGCGCTTGGGGTCAGCTTGCAGCCCAGGACTCCTACTGGGAGCTCTTGCCTGCAGAACATCTGTAAAAGGATCTGACTCCAAACCCAACTGCCAGCCTTGTCTGTCAACCCAAGGTCTTGAGGTCTGAGGTCCTTCAGCACTGGTGGGGGCCTTTTTCTCCTTCCTTGTGCAGTGCCAACATTACCAACGTTCAGCTGGACTATGGTGGGATCTGGATGTCTTTCCATAAGGAGTGGTTCACAGCAAACATCTCACTTGGATTTGATATTGACTTGAGACTGTGAGTCATACAGAAGCAGGGTCTAAACGGCACTGCTCCTCTTCATCGGGAACCCGGGAGTGGAGGCAGGCAGATTTTGGCCATTTGGGGAACCCAGGTCTTTCTGCCCCAACCTGGTTTCAAATCCTGGTTTCCAAACTCACTTGCTATGTAACCTCAGGCAAGTCACTTCACCTCTCTGAGCCTTGGTTTCTTCAGCTGAAATGTAGATGGCGATCACTGATAAGTGGAGACAGGTCGTTTGCTCATTTAAACTTATGTGAGTTCCCTACAACGATCTTTAAAAAGAGAAACACTTCAATGATCTCAACACCCTTCCCTCTGCCTGTTTAAACTTTTGCTCCCATTTAACATTTGCTGCTCCCAAGGAAATGGAGGGCTCCACTAAATGGTAAAGATTTTTAGAATAAAATTAAATCTCTATTTTTTAATCTCCAGAGGCCCCCTCCCAGAAAGTGTTAGTCACTCAGTCATGTCTGACTCTTTGCCACCTCACAGGCTGTAACCTGTCAGGTTCCTCTGTCGATGGGATTTCCCAGGCAAGAATACTGGGTTGCCATTCCTTTCTCCAGGGGATCTTCCCAGTGCAGGAATTGAACCCGGGGCTCTTGGCTTGCGGGCAGATTATTTTACCATCTGAGCAACCAGGGAAGCCCAAAGGCCCCCGAATCTAGTCTATTTAAAGGATTTTTGGAAGCCACTCAGGCTAATAACATTTTTCTCCTTAATCACTGACAACAGAATTTAGCATCCAGACACCATGGAGCCCCACTGGGCTGGTTTGGCAAAAAAGCCACTCTCCATGTTGGCTGCTTTCTCCTCCTCTGTCTCTGTCTCCTGCCCTTCCCCTTCCTCCTCTCTCTCATCCCCAGGCCCTTCAATAACCATATCATAAAGACACACGAACGCATGAACCTCTCTGTGGAGTTCTGGCTGGAGAAAGATGAGTTTGGCCGGAGGGATTTGGTGATAGGCAAATGCCACGTGGAGCCCAGGAGTGTCCACACAACCTTCCTCACTGAGTAAGTTCCCAGCCACCCCTTCCCAGGGCTGGGCGCCTTCCCAGCCGGCACTGGCTTTGGTCTCATGTCTCCACCACCTCCTGGAAAACCCCTAGACTGATCTCACCCTTTCCCCCAGATCTCTTCCTCCTCTTGCATTCCCATCCCGGGGATGGCCCTGCCACCCTCCCAGAAGCCAGAATCTTCCTCCCCCTCCCCACAGGCCATCTTCACCAGGTCCCATCAGTGACCTCCTGGCATCCTTCAGCTGCCCCCTGTCTCTCCATCCCCACACCCACTGGCCAGGCTCATAGTCCACTTTCTGAACCTCCTCCGGCTTTCCCTGACTCAGACCTCACTGCCTTTACTCCATTCTCCCCCTGCAGCAGGGGGATTTTCTGGTCTTCATTCTTCCCCAGCCCAGAAATACGGTCTTGTTCTTCACCCCCACCTCTGCTTCAAACCCTCCAGTGGTTCTCCAACACCCTCTGGACAGAGAGCAAACTCCTGGATGTCCCCCAAGGCCCTCCTTGTCCCGTCCCAGGCCGCACTCTGCAGCCCTTCGCCCTCGAGCCTCTCTGAGAACTCCCTCCAGCAGTATGATATATTTTCATGCCACTGTGCCTTTGTATATGCTGGTCCTTAGGCCTCCACACCCCTCCCTTCTCCTTTAAAGCTCCTCCTCATCACTCAGCTAGTCGACAGATACTTGATGAGAACCTACTATGTGCTAGGTATGGTGCGCTTAATGCTAGGGATACAGTAGTGAACAACATAGAAAAAAACAGATCTAAATGAAGATCTGCAGGCTGGCTGACCAACTGAGTGAATCCCAACAGACTAGTGAGTCCTTCAAGGGCAAGATCTGTGTCTGATTTCTCTCCATAATTCCAGATGGCTGAAAGCAACTAGGTCCTCAGAGTATATCTGTTCATTTATTCATCAGATATTCACTGAATGCCTAGATCGTGCCAGACATCCATGAAGAGGACTGTGGGGTGTGGCTACTGACCTGGTTCTAATCTAATCAGTGCTGAACTAGCTGTGTGACCTTGGGCAAGGCACATCACTTCGCCCTTTAATCATTGCTTACAGTGACACCTCTCATGTAGAGCTGGCTGAGGAGTCAATGGTTGTGTGAAATGTTCTCCACACACAGCCCCTGACATTAGTGTTTCCTGTATTTATCTGTTCTGTGCGATACACCCACCTCTCTTTCTAGAGCTATCCCACCAAATGTGAATCCTTTTCTCCGCAACTTCAGAGACAACCTGGAAAAAGTTATCCCACATCTGATAGAAAGTCAGGTAAGTTTGAGAAAAAGGGTTTTCACCTTGGGCATCCTTGAGTCTGTGGGTCAGGGCATATTTTTGGTACTTCATTGAAAAAATGGGTCTTTAGAACCTGGGAAATCTCCATTAAAATGTTGTTTTGCCATCTACTGGCTGTGTCCTTAGGCAAGTGACTTAGCCTCCCTGAACCTCAGTTTCCCCATGTGTAACATGAGAACCATCACACTCTCTATTTCACGGAAAGTCACAGAGATTCAGGGGGACAAAGCAGAGTAATGTGGTGCATGGCTCCTGGCAAATAGTTGGCACTCAATACAGGGGAGCCACTCTTGCCATGATTCCTTATTCAAATTCCATGGCTCCCAGCCACAGGCCCTCCAGTTTTCTTTTTCCAGTCCCTGGTCTGACCCTTCTTTCTGTCCTGGTGGCCCAGGTGTGTCCTCTGATTGACGAGATACTCAGGCAGCTGGATGTGAAACTGTTGAAAAGCCTCATGGGTAAGTGAGCACCTGTGTCCGTTTGGTGGGGAGGACTGAAGATGGGCAAATGGACAAGACAGCTGCCCCTGCTTCAGCTCCCATGGAGGCCTTCTGCTGGGTGTCTGAATGTGCTCTGAGGACACTTGGAGGTGAATGTGTGACCATGACCATCACTGTCCCCAAGTGAGGTGGGACAGTGGAGGGCACCCTTACCTATCAGGCTGTACCCCATCAAACCTCCAGGTCACCAGAGCTGGCCCAAGATCTCCACTCAATCTTTAGGGAGCACTGACCCCCCTACCTGAGCCCACCTGAGCCCCAGTTGCAAATAAACAGATAAAATCCCTGCCTTCAGGGAACTCACTGTGAATGGAAGACACAAGAAGTGAATAATTAGATATCATTTGAAGAGCTTCAATGCAAATGTTCCCAGCACTGGGCCTTAGTCAGCATGGAAGGATGAGAGACCCCTTCAGTGTGGACCTGGGGAGTGGGGGGCAGACACTCGATGACTGATTCTGCCTCTTCTCCTTACAGAACAGGACACTGCTTATGAACTCAACCAACTTTGAGTCCAGCCAACCTTCCATGAACTAGACTTGAGTGCCCTCCAGCAGCCACTGATGATTAGAGGGAAATAACACACTTGGAGACCTTAAGTCTCCCTTACAGTGGGGCTTCTGATGCCCCAAAAACTTGTACCACAGGTTCTATGGATATCCTGTCCTCTTCCATAATAAATTCTAACTCTGAAGAGTGCAAAGGGCCTCCTGCCTAGGTCCTGAGGTTTGGGTTCCAGAAGTCAGACCTGATGAAGATCCATCCCGAGACTGGATATACCTGGGTTTGCTCATCAGCCCAGAAATGACACAGAAAACATCATTTCTCATCCTGTAATTGGCAGCCAGTAGCCCCCATCCATGAATCTGCTCATCAGTGCAGGGGGAGTCCTGCTGAGACTTCCCATCCTCTCATCCATTCAACCCATGTTTATTGAGCACCTGGCTTCCCTGGTGGCTCAGATGGTAAAGATTCTGCCTGCAATGCAGGAGACCTGGATTTGATCCCTGGGTTGGGAAGATCCCCTGGAGAAGGAAACATCAACCCACTCCAGTATTCTTGCCTGGAGAATTCCACTGACAGAGGAGCCTGGAGGGCTACAGTCCAGGGGGTTGCAGAGAGTTGGGACATGACACTTCCACTTTATTGAGCATCTAATATGTGCCAACCACTGTGCTGGATTCCAAGGGAGTGAAGAATGGTGACAGAGTGGTAAAGTAGAAACACTTGCACCAAACAGATCTGAGTTCAAGTTCTATTCAACCCAAAAAGAAGTTCCATGATGAGCATATGGACATGTGCATCAGGGTAGCCAGTGACCACACACCCCCCCCACACACACCCGCCCCCAGCATAGACCTGGCACATTTACTCATGATTAGATGATGGGTGAGTCCTGGTCTTAGGACTCCCTGGCTGTGTCAGGGACAAGGCACTTAACCTTTTGGTCTTCCTCCCCTGCAGAAAGGGGATAGAGATCTTGCAGGACATGGAGCAACAGGAGCCAGCACACTGCTGGAGGGAGGTGAGTCATAACTCCACTTTATAAAACTAGGTGGCAGCATCTCCAGAAGGGCAACATATTCCTCCCTCTGACCCAAAATCCCGCCCCTAAGTACAGAAATATGTGTCTGTGGACACCACAAGACCTGTCCAAGATTGCTCGTGGCAGCCATAGTCCTAAGAGCCCCAAAGCGAAAACTCCCTAAGTGCACATCAAAAAAAAAGGATAAATACAGTGGATAGATAAATAGCTTGTGGGACAGTCAGCAGCAGAATGCTCTACAGTAAAGAGCATGATCTGCACTCACTCTACGGCATGGATGGATCTCACACACCTAATAAAGCCAGGCTCCAAAACACAGATCTCCCATCTATGTGAAGCTCAAATACAGCAAACCTAATCCATGCGGTCAGCAGTCAAAAAGGTGTTATGCTCGGGGAGATGCCTAGTGACTGGAACTAGAGGGAGGGGCTCTGCAGGGCTGACGCCATTCTGTTTCTTGATCTGGGTGCTGATTACAGGGAAGGTGTTCAGTTTGTGAAAGTTCATGGAGCTCTTCAATTAGGTGCGTTTTTCCCATTGGTGTTATACTTTAACCAAAAATTTTTATTTTGAAAATAAAAACTATTTACCCTGCAGGATATTTGCAGGAATGCACAAAAGCAGTTGCAGTATGATTAGCATGTGCTAGATCCATGGGAAGTGCTTATTAAAAGTCCTTTAATTCGTTGTTAATAAGTTAATTAATGACTATTCTTTTTTTTTTTAAGTTGCAGTGTGAGAACTCTTAGTTGCAGCATGTGGGACCTAGTTCCTTAATCAGGGATCGAACATGGGTCCCCTACATTGGGAGCTCAGAGTCTTAGCCACTGGGACCACCAGGGAAGTCCCTCAGTTCTTAAATATAGATTCCTGTCCTCCTCCACCCAAGCCAAGGAAGAGCATACTGAGAAATAAAGAGGAAATAACACACACACAATTAATAGCAGTAACACACACATTTAAAGACTCAGCATATGCCAAGCTTAATCCTCACAGAAACCGCATGAAGTTCAAAACTGCTATCCTATTCAAAACTGCTATCCTCACACAGCCAGGAAATGACCAAGCCAACTGCACTCAAGCAGCCAGACTTCAGAGCCTACAACTTTGACCACTGTGGACCCCCCCACTTCAGTCTTCCCTCCCAACATCCCTGCACCCATCTACACACCCCCTACACTTAGGGGAAAATGATGAAATATTCATTCAGCTTGACTGACAAGCTCAAACAAGGAGGTGTCAACAGCTCAGAGATGAGAATGGGGCAAGCGATACTCATGTCTCCATCTTTCAACTCAGACTCCGTAATCCAAAATGCTTCACCGGGGATTTGCAACCCTAAACGCCCACATTCATACAAAAGATTCCCCTTGACAGCCTTGAGTTTACGGGATTTTCCTGCTCATGATCCAAAGAGCAAACACGGGAGGGCTGGACCTCAACCTCCGGCAAGGTCGCCTGGTCCCTCGGTGAAAGCAGCTTTTGTCCGCCTTTCTTCTGACCCCTGAGCCCTCCTCGGGTTTCTTGAATTCTGGTGGGTTTTTTTGTTTTGTTTTGTTTTGTTTTGTTTTGTTTTTTTCATTTTAAGGTTCACAGAGCTGTGGACTCATCATGTTTTCTCCTGGAGGAACTTGGTGCACAATGGATCTCTAATATGATACTGGGGCCTGGGGTAGTGGGTAATTGAAGCAGAAATTCAGCCCCAAATACTCAGATGCTTGCTCCAGACCCTGCCCCTCTATACTTGTAACAACTTCCTCTCACTTCCATATAGAGTTCTGGCTCCCAGGGGACAAAGCTAGCATCCCACACCCAAGTTCTGGAGAGCAGACCTTGCACAATTGAAAAATAAAATGAACTCTGCCCTTTAAAAAGGAATCTCTTGATTCACAAAACAATGCCAGTAAAGACTCCCCAACACAATCACAATCTGATATGTAGGATGAAAAGAGCACAACCTCCAGTTTGTGAGAAACACAATGAGGAGGCACTGGCATCACCAACGCGGAAAACACTGTCTTGAAATGTTAGCTGGGTGTCCGTCTACACTTCTTGATGCCTCATGACCCTTGTCCTGCTCGGGGCAGGGAAACCAGCCACACCGGTGCGGCCAGGAAGGACAACTTCAGCAGAAGCTGAGAGAAGGCTCTTGAGTCTCGGAAGCCTGGGTCTCTGACAAAGCATCAGTGACAAAGAACAGACGAGTGGTTGCCAGTTGCAGGGGTGGGAGGGAGTCAGGAGGAGGGAAGGAGTGACTCTGAAAGGGCGTCGTGAGTGTATTTGTGGGGTGATGGTAATGTTCTGTAGTAACCTGATTATTATTGTGGCTACATAAGACTATTCGTGTGTTAAAACTCATTGAATTAAACACCCCCCCAAAGTCAATTTTACTGTAGGTTGATTCTTTTTTAAGCCTGAGTTTTTCAATTTCAAAATGTGGGACATAGGAGAATAGCATGTATATGACTGTATTATAATATAGTCTATGCTATACATTAAGAATAGCATGTATATGGCTAATCGAAGGAAGATTTCCTGCCCCCCAGACTAGAAAATCTCCCCTGTTGGTGGAGTGTGTGAGTCCAAGAGAAACTGAAGAGAACATAGTTGTAGTGGGTTCGGAGAAGTATCTCCCACTTCTCCCCAGGCAAACCTTGGCGTGAGAGGAGGGCCAGCAGAAACCCCAGGTTGATGTGGGGGATTCCAGAATGGGTGGGGTCTGTGTCCATGTTCCCTTCCAGAGCCAGGAAAGATGGCAGGACCCCAAGGAAAGAAGGTCAACTGGAAGGTCATAGTCCAGACAGATGGGCTAAGGTAGCCCCCCCAAGGTCCTGCCTAAGGCCCAAGGAATTGCGACACAGAACACTTTCGGGTGTCCAGGAAGAGAGTAAAAGGTAAAGGTTAAATTTGAAGGGATGGAACTTCCCTGATGTTCCAGTGGTTAAGAACCCACCTGCTAATGCAGGGAATGCAGGCTTAACCCCTATTCAGGAAACTAAGATCCCACATACCATGGAGCGACTAAGCCTGCCTGCAGCAATGACTGAGCCCATACCTGGCAATGAAAGAGCCCACAGGCTTCAACCAAGACCCAGTGCAGACAAATAAGAGGGAAGGAATGGGGTAGGGGTGGGAGGGAGGTTCAAGAGGAAGGGGACGTAAGTTTACAGTGGTTGATTCATGTTGTTTTATGGCAGAAACTAGCACAACACTATAAAGCGATTATCCTCTGATTAAAAATAAAAGAGAAAATATAATTTAAAGAGTTAATTCGAAGGGGCTTTTAGGATGGAAGGGAAACACAGCATCTAAGCATCGAGGAACCAAATGGCATGTGGCTGTCTCTACATTTTCAGTCAAAACAAGGACAGGGCATCCTCCTTCAGATGCCCTGGCACAAATAAAGCCCCTGGAACAGAAATAAAATGCCAGGGGGGAGTGGAGACAGTTCTGTTATTCAGCAAAATGATACTTGAAATATTAAAATCTACATACATTAGGGGGAAAAAAACATGTAGGGAAGTTCCCTGGTTGCCTAGTGGTTAGGATTCAATGCTGCTATTATGGAGGCCTGAGTTCAATCCCTGGTCAGGGAACCATCCCATATCCCCAGTGGCAAGATGCAGCCAAAATACAATAAATAAATAAATAAAGGGATTATGTATTTAAAAAGAAAAACATGTAGGGACTTAATAATCCACCTTCCAATGCAGGAGACATGGGTTTGACCCCTGGTCTAGGAACCAAGATCCCACATGCCAAAGAGCAGCTAAGCTCGAGAGCTGCCAACTACCGAGCCTGCACACTCTGGAGCCTGTGCGCGACAACTGGCGTCCATACACTGCAACCAAAGATCCCACCTGATGCAACTAAGACTCGGCAAAGCCAAATAAATAAGTAAAACATTTTTTAATGTTTAATTAAAAAAAAAAAAGAAAACCATGTAGACACATGAGCTTATGAACTGAACATAAACCCCCTCCTTAGACATTATCCCCCACAGCCCTGGGAGGTAGATACTTACTTCCCATTTTACAGATGAGGAAACTGAGGTTCAAAGGATTGGAGGGACTTTCCCAGGGTCACAGGATTTGAACCAGGGCGATATGTGTCCAAAGTCATCCCCTTTCTGCCATAACACAAATATAACTTC